ACCCCGATGTTGCCGAGCGGTTCGTTTGTAGGATGGGGTCTTTATCGAAGGCCCGTGATGGCACGAGAGAGGCAGCGCAAAACACGACCTCTGAATCCTTCGGATAAGTGGCGGAGCTCAGGCGGACGAAGCGGTTCGCTCGCTGGGCTGGGCGGAAAGAAGGTCCCTTGCCTTCTCGTCCCTGGCCTTTTATATTCCCGGTGTCGGTAGCGCGTGGTGTCTATTTGCTCCCCCCACTCCGCCGCGGCGACCGGGGCGCCTGCGCGTACCGGGTGGCAAGGGTGCGCGTGTATCCGGGGACCGTTCGCTGCGCGCCCTCGCGCTATCTGGTAGCCGGTTGTTTGCGTAACGTAAGTGCGGGCGCACTGCGCCTGTCATCGCCCCGCAGGTATTTGGCGGGGCGGCATCTGGCTGTTGTTTGTGCCAGGCATCCGGCCGTGGCCGGGTAGCGCGATGACAATGCCTATTTCGGCCTTGCATCGTTACATCACCCCCTCTCTACTGAGTGCCTGAATCTAGAGGCACTAATCCAAACGGCGGATATTTCGGATGGATCCATCTCCGTTGAACCGGATCCTCCAGCGTTTCCCTTCGGACCAGGCCGTCCATTTCCGCGAGACGTGGGCGGAGAAATGGGGAACTTCCACTATTCGTCCCGGTTCGACTTGCACCGGGATCGGCGGTGGCGGTAGGGGCCCCATTACCCTTGCGGGTGTTAGCGTCGGCCGTTCTGCTGCGGCCGGGGCTGGTGGCAGCGGTCGTCTTTTTGGAGGCGGCGGTGGTGGTTCCGTCATCCAGGCTCGCTTTGTCCGTTGCTGCGCGTCGGACCGTTGCACGACACAGCCCACGATCGGTACGTTTCGTCGTGCCGGTGCGCGCGGGTCCTCGTGCCTCGGTGCCTGCAAGCTGGTTGTTCCATTCGGCTGGTTTAGATGTAGTCGCCGGCTCCAGGCGTCGATCTCCGGGTGCTCGGGATCGTACTCCTGCAGGAGGTCGTCAATTGCTGCGATGATTTCGCTGTGCTCCATGTCTGTAGCTCGAGTGAGTCGCATGAGTCTCGGTGGTTCTTTTATGGCCCTGTCATGTGTTTTGGAGGCTGTGGGGTGGGGGCACCTGTTTACGCTTCGGATTCGGTACGGATACTGTCCGCGTCATCGTCTTGTTTGTCACAACTGGCTATGGAGGGGGTGTTCTCGTCGTCGTCTTCCGTGTTTTCCACGAGCGCGGGTTTTAAATCCTGGACGTGTATGTGCCTTGCCCATCGCCCGTTACGGTTACGCAGGTTTACGATGACGGGGGATATGATTTGTCTTACCTCGAAAGGGCCCGCGTATTTGGGGGCTAGTTTGGCGTTGAATGCGGCCATTTTGTTGGAGAGTGGGTACTCGCGCTTCCATACCCACTCCCCGATTCGTGGTAGCCACGGTCGGCGACGCAAATTATAATATTTTTGCTGAGTCTGAAACGCGCGCGCGAGGTTTATTCCTACGAGTTCAAAGGTCTCCTCTAGGCGTTTTTGCTTGACGCTAGGCGGCGGGGCGGCGGCCCGCGTTATTGCGTATGGTGTGCCGCGCGGCGCGAGCTCCCGTCCGAGGTTTAGGAACGCGGGTGTATATTTCGTCGCTTCGTGTTTTGCGGAGTTGTACGCAAATTGTAGTTGCGGTAATTGTTCGTCCCAATTTTTGTGGTTCTTGCCGACAAACTGCGCGATCATCGTCTTTAACGTTCGATTGGTTCGTTCGACTGGGTTGCAGTGAGGGGCGTGTACGGGGGTGAACGTGTGTTTTATGCGGAACGCGGACAGGAGCTCTGTTAACTGTTTGGCGCGCAGCTGGGTGCCGTTATCCGAATGGATACTCTCTGGGCACCCGTGTCGATAAATAAGATTTTTCTCGATGCAGTCTGTAACTGCCGGGGCGGTGGCGCGGCGCAGTGGGCACATTTCCACCCATTTCGTGAATCTGTCCTGTATGTTGAGCAACCACGTGTTTCCCTTCTTTGATCGGGGTAGGGGGCCTACCAGATCCATGGTTACCTGTTGCCAAGGGCGGGTTACGGGGGTGGCGTGTGCTAGTCCGGCTGGCTTTGCTTGGTTTGCTTTGAACTTTTGGCAATTCTCGCACTTTTTGACGTATGTCGCGATTTCACGGAACATGCCCGGCCAGTAATAATTAAGCGCGACGCGGGCGATGGTTTTTGCGATCCCAAAATGGCCGGCCGTTA